ATCTAGTCCCTTAAATCTATTTCTCACTTCCACTGCATAGTCATAAGGGATTTGATTTAGGTCATACCTGAATGGTCTAGTGGTTTTCCGTACTTTCTTCAATTTAAGTCTGAATTTGGCAATAAGGAGTTCATGATCTGAGCCACAGTCAGCTCCTGGTCTTGTTTTTGCTGACTGTATAGAGCTTCTCCATCTTTGGCTGCAAAGAATATAATCAGTCTGGTTTTGGTGTTGACCATCTGGTGATGTCCATGTGTGGAGTCTTCTCTTGTGTTGTTGGAAGAGGGTGTTTGCTATGACCAGTGTGTTCTCTTGGGTAAACTCTATTAGCCTTTGCCCTGCTTCATTTCGTACTCTAAGGCCAAATTATCCACAATTTTTCCTACATTTCTATAAACTAGAATGCCTTGTCTCATCAAATGTTGGTTAATAGGTTTTACAATGATGATACTAGAGCTAAAACGGACCATTGGGATGACAGTCTAGAACTAATACACTTTCTACTTTTAAAGATGAGGAAACTAAACCCAGAAAAGAGAACCAAATTCACACTCAGTATACAGCTTCCCTGGTGGCTCCCACATGCAATGCGGGAGACCTGGGTTCGATCCCTGGATTGGGACGATCCCTTGGAGAAGGAAATGGCAACCCACTCCAGTATTCTTGCCTGGAGAATCCCATGGATGGAAGAGCCTGGTGGGCTACAGTCCACGGGGTCGCAAAGAGTCAGACACAACTGAGCGACTTCACTCCCTCACTCACACAGCTTAGACAAGAGCCCAGGTCTCCAGATTCTCAGCTCAGTATTTCACTACATGGATATGGCCCTCGTGAAGATAAAGATCAGAAAAGGTACTGAGAATGCTCAGATCCCTTTCCTTTAAGCTTTAATGAAGCACAAGAAATTATGATCAAAATATTAAGAAGGAAACTGAAATCAATGTCACTAGTAACATTATATATCAAAAATGGAAAACAAACAAAAAAATGGAAAACAATCTTTTTATATAATCATTTTCTCAAAATGGCAAGATTCATTCATTCATTCAAGTTTTTCTTTCCAAAACTCTTACCTGTAGATTGGTCAATAGCTGACTGGCAATTATGATTCTTAAAACAAGAAATCAAAAGGGATTTGTCTTAACTGCAGCAAATCTGAAACAGAGTTTATGACTTTATATGACTTCATGGTCAGTTGTGGGCTTCCCAGGTGGCACTAGTGGTAAAGAACCCACTTGCCAATGTAGGAAATATAAAAGATGCAGGTTCGATCCCTGGGTAGGGATCATCCTCTGGAGGAGGTCATGGCAACCTACTCTGGTATCGTGCCTGGAGAATCTCATGGACAGAGGAGCCTGGGGGGTTACATTCCATGGGGTTGCAAAGAATCAGATATGACTGACTGACTAAGCATGGCACAGCATGCATATGATGAGTAAGAAATAAGCTGAACACGAAAAAAATATGATGACACCTATATATTTTGTGACTAACATTTAGTATTATGATCTGTTTGCAGAATTGAGGTTACAGTTTTAAATTGGCCTTGTTTTAGAACTGTTCATGTATGTTTATTTAAAATGTCATGGGGCTTCTCTGGTGGTCCAGTGGTTAAGAATCTGTGCTCCCAGTGCAAGGGGCATGGGTTGGATCCCTGGTCTGGGAACTAGGATCCTGCATGCCTGCACAGTGTGGCCAAAAATAAAGAAATAAAATAAAAATAAAATGGAAAAAAAATGGAGAAAATTTGAGATCAAAAGAAAAATGCAGGTACTTGATGTGTCTTTATTTCAAAATATATGCCTCTCTACAAACAAATAACAATAACCAGTTAATTCATTTGTTTAACACATAGTGGAAATGATGGGGCTGTGGGGTATGAGTGTCAGTTCCCAGAACAATTATCCAGAATCCCCTACCCAGATAGATGACTTTCATATGAGATGAAAGAAAATAAAAATTGATAAGTAATGTTAGAGAAATAGCTTGGGGAACTTCCCTGGTGGTCTAGTGGATAAGACTGTAGACTCCCAATGCAGAGGACCAAAGTTCAATCCTTAGTCAGGGAACTAGATCCCATACGCTGCAACTAAGACCCAGAGCGGCCAAATAAATAATTTAAAAAAAAAGAAATAGCTTAAGAGGGACAGTACCAACAGTTTACACATTCCATTTTTCAGTTCTCATATACTACCTATAGGTGGGTCAACTAGTACTTTTTGAGAGGCAATTTAGCAATTTTAACAAATATAACATATTTCAATTTGTGCATCTTTGAAGTAGCAGTTCCACTTAAAAGTATTTGTCCTACAAAACTATTTGCACAAGAATGCAAAGATAAATGATCAAAGATGTTCAAGGCAGGATTAATTTTACTGGCACTTTGGAAATAGCCTAAACATTCATCAAAAGGAGCAAGCTAAAATGTACTGACTAGGGGAAATACACTAT